TTGTTTTTGGTTCAGGAGTGGCTTTATGCATGGAATTCTACAGCTGTAGCCCATGTCATGCAGACGTCTGTATGTGGTGGTTCTTGATGCACTGACACCAGCCTCAGTCCACTCCTTATGAAGCTCCCCCAGATTTCTGAATCGCCCTTGCTTGACAATCCTCTCAAGGCTGCGGTCATCCCTGTCACTTGTGCACCTTTTCCGGCCACATTTTTCCCTTCCTCTTAACACTCTGTTAATATACTTCGTTACTGCACTCTGTGAGCATACAGCTTCTTTTGCAATTGCCTTTTGAGACTTTTCCTCTTTATGGAGGGTGTCTATGATGGTCTTCTGCACAACCGTCAAGTCAGCAGTCTTCCCCATGATTCTGAAGCCTACTAAGCCAGACTGAGACAATTTCAAGGCTGAGGAAACCTTTGCAGGTGTTTTGCATTAATTAGCTGACTAGATTGGGACACAGGGAGCCTACAATGTTGAACTTTGTCATGATATTCTAATTTTGTGAAATACTGGATTTGGGTTTTTTTTTTAATCCATAATCATCAAAATTGAAACAAATAAAGGCTTGACATATTTCTCTTTGTGTGTAGTGAACTAATATAACATACAAGTTTCACTTTTTGAAACAAATTATTGAAATAAATGGACTTTTCCTTGATATTCTAATTTTTTGGCACATACCTGTACATGCCACAGTCTCTTTCTTATAAGGCAGCAGACAAATGTCCAAAACATTACTGGTTCCTAGTAGCATGGAGCATAAACAGATAAAGGCTTACACAGTCACAGAAATAAAATGTGAACCCCAAGCAATTCCACTTGTCAGTAAGAATCAGGGCTATTGTCTTAGTGTCTAACTTCTCAGGGTAAAATATACTGCTGTCCAGTTACATAATGAGATAGTCTACAGTCATATCAGAGTATCCAGTTATAAATAAAAATATAATTTTAGCCCAGTATACTTTCAAATTGATGTCTTCGACATTTTGTTTCTGGGCTGTCCAGGTTTCCTTCAGTTCATGATTCGTGAAATTTACCTTTATAACCCACTGGTTATTTTGACATGTAAACATTTGTATTTGATGCCAAACATCATAATGCATCTGCTTATTTTTAGATTGAATTTACTTAATAAACAAGATGATAATGTCTTTGTGCCCACAGACCCCAACCCAAAACCTGACAAACCTGATGTCAAACCACCAAAAAGTGGAGGAGGTAAAGCTACAAAAATTTCAAGGCATTTGTTTGTCTTATTTTACATGGATGTTGAAAGACAAGTCTGGTGATCTCTGTTCTTCTTCTTATCAACAAATCCCATGTACAGAGCCAAACCAGCTGTGAATATACGCATCTACTAACAAGTAGTGTGTGTATCAGAGTCTGATATACAGTACCTTATTCCTCTGCACCATACACTTTCATTGTAGAATAAACTATTAAAAACAGTGAGCTACACTGCTTGTCTGTGATATGTTTATTAATTGCTGTGAACACACACACACAGTAGTTTATGTTAACTTAGTTCCCCATACACCATCCTGCTCCCCCAAACATGGGCAGAGTCAAGATATTCTGGGGGTGGCCGGTGCCACTCCTGTTAGTCACAATGTTATTCTTGTCAGTATTATTGAATGAAAAATGAAAAACTTTGACAGAAAACATGTCTGTGCAGATTCTCAGTCATCCAGGTCATAGTAAACTGAAAAAACTGGCACTGGCACTAAATATCTCCAGCTCAACACCAGTCCGTCAGAACTGATGAAGCCTCTTGGATGAGAGATGAAACATCTTCAGCCTAGAAATCTAGTCCAATTGATTTTTTCACTTTGACAGAAAACCTTGCCTAAAATCAACTAATATTTTTTGGTACTTTATAATTGATATTGGTCAGATTAGTTTTATTTTATATAATGCATTCATGTAGCCTGGTATTTGCATTCATTTTTCTAATTGTGTTGTTGTGGAGTACTTGATTCAAAGAGCTAGGGGTTTAATTTACTCTCTACATGTATTTCAAATATGCCCAGTGTTTCCCTGGGGCAACTATGGTTCGGTGGGTAGAGTGGTCGTTTCCAAATTGGAAAGTTGGAGGTTTGAATCACGGTGCCTGCAGTCCACATGTTGAAGTGTCCTTGGGCAAGACACTGAACCCCAAGTTTACCCCCAATGGTTAGACCCATTGCTATGAGTTGGCGCTGCAGGTGGCTGCCTTGGTTCTGTACCAGAAACAAATTCCTTGTGTGTGTGTAACATGGCTAAACAAAGTGATTATCTTTATCATATTGGTTGGGGCACCCTGCCCACCTTGAAGGTCAAGTTAATTTTATTAAATTTTATTTTCTATATAGCGTCAGATCACAACAGAAGCCATTTAAGTTTTACCTTTCCTACAGAACAGGTCTATACCTTTTATTAAACAAACTAAATAGCCTTATGTTATTTATCTTGTTTACACAAGGGAATGTCAGTTCTATTTCTTTGGTCGTGCATTTACAATTCTCCTCTGCTCTCTGTATCGCACTCAGCGGAATTCCACCCCGATGTGCCCACACACACACACAAGTACGCGCACCACACAGGTGAACACTCCCACCAGCGAACAGAGAGCACGCCTTGGAAAATATGTTGCGTGTGTCTGTCAGACCCCCCCAGAAAAAAAGCTTTAAACGTAAACCTAACTTAAAGACTACTTAGTTTGTAAATGTTTTTATTTATGCTGCTTCTTTTCCCCTACAGGTCGTGGAACATTTGGTGACTCAGACTTGTTGGATGTTAGCGGTGGGGACTACAAACCAGATGGAGGCCGCTCAGGAGGAGGTGAGACTTCAGTACTAGGGGTGGACCCAAATCTGAATACGGTGTTCAAAAAAGCACAAATAGTGGGTTTTTACAAATATTTTTTTAAATGATTAGTTTTTAGTGAGAAAATAAAGAGGTCTAATACCTGGAGGCAAAATGCAGTTCATTCCTTTGCCAGTATTTTGTTTTGATTAGTTATTTTTAACCTTAACTGCTTTGTTGAGGCAGTTTATTATAATGTTATCATTTTTTTCCCTGTTTGACCTGCAATATGTGAAACAAAGTTTGTTTGACCAGGAGGAGATTAGCCTATGTTAGCTATGGCAGTGTAGAGACCTATTAGTTCACACGCTGTGCTCACTGCTCGGTTAACCTGTGTCACACAGTTCCAGATATCACACTGGAGAAATAGAATGCTATTTATAGCCACTCTAGCAAAGTAGCTGTGTCACTGTTTCAGCTTACAGGGGACAGATGCAGCAGAACTTGTTTGGCTGGGAGGAGCTTTGGTTAGTGTTCACCTTTAAGCCCTGTAACTGAATCTTATATTGTTGGTAGTGTAGAAGTACATCTACACTGAAGGAAACTGTCAGAATGAAGAAGAAGGCTGTGGCTCAGATGGTTGCGGATGCAAAAAGTCAGGTGTGGGAGGAGTTCAGAGAGGCAATGGAGAAGGACTTTTGGCTGGACTCAAGGAAGTTCTGGCAAACTGTTTGATGGCTCAAAAAGAGAAAGCATTGGCCCAGGCTGTGTTTGGCAGGGGAGGAGAACTGCTGACTCAGACTTGGGATATTGTCAGGTGGTAGAAGGAGAACTTTGAGGAACTCCTCAACCTGGCTGACAAGTGATCCAAGGAGGAAGCAGAGTTGGAAGACTCAGGGGAAGTCTAACCCATATCTCTGGCAAAGGTCTCTGAGGTAGTTAAAAAGCCCCTCAGTGGCAAGGCGCAGGGAGTGAATGAGATTCACCCTTAGCTGCTGAAGTCTCTGGACATACAGTAGTTGGGCTATCTTTGTTGACACGCCTCTTCAGTGTCACATGGAGGACAGGGACAGTGTCTGACGACTGGTAGACTGGGGTGGTGGTTCCCATTGTTAAATAGGGGGACGGGAGAATGTGCTCCAATTATGGCCATTTTTGTTTTTTGGCCCATTCAGGCCAGATTGTGTATGTACAGTATATATCTTAGTGCTGATTATTGTTATTTTGTAATTCATATTCTTGCTTTAGTGTTTTGGTTTTGTTTAACTGTTGTTTTTATTTATCTTTTACATTTGTCACCATTTAATTATTTGATATTTGACTGCAGATTTACATGCATGTCCTTACACATTCAAAATGTGTCACCCCAGGTAACTGTTAATGAGGCATAAAAGTAGAAAATTAAAAGAAGATGCAGCTGGTCCACCCCAAGGTTTGACTGAAGCTCCTGCCCTTGATAAAGTTCAAGCTATGTTCACAGATTTCAGTATGTTAGAAAGACAAGACAAGACAGGAGAGGACTGTTTAAAATCAACAGAAAGTTTACTGAAAGTCTTGCCACAGTGAAGTCATTACAGCGCTGGGATCAGAGCGACAGAGCTCCCACAGGAGATCCGTAATCTGAGCCATGAATTACGTTTTAACAATACATTTATATTCTTGGGCTGCTCAGCCCTGGACAGAGGTACTATACTCAACACTTCGTAATCCTATTGGTCATTTGGCATGAGTAGGTTAACTCCTGTTAACTCCTGCCTGCTGAAATGTGATCAAAACCAGGTGTGTGTGTGTTATGATGTGATTTTCCAGGCGGCAACTGAACAATGGGATATCTGCGCTGTAGACCCCCTGTCTGTGTAATCCTATTACAGGACAAAGCAGGACCTCATGAATACAAACACTATGTCGACACAGAAGTTAAAGTAGTCAATTTCTACTTCAATATCACTTGACTCTCGTCAGTACAATTGGAAGATATATATGCAAGGAAAATAAATGTATTAAAGTAACCAAAGCTCAGTAGTTCTGGACAATCATCAATACAGTTTTAAAACGTATAAGCAAGGAAAGTAAAGGTATGAAAAGTAACTAAAAGACAATGAAGAACTGAAAAGTAACTAAAGGTTATAAAGTAACTAGAGCCTATAAGAATCAAATCTTACAAGTACCATTATTTTTTTCAACCATATGACACCTGGAGGCTCAGAAATATACAATAAAAATCATGAATTCTAAATATATTGTATTTAAAAATTTTGATAGTATAAAACTGATATCAGGTTGTACAGGTTTAGTGCTTGTATTTTCCATAGGTTTTCATGTTTTTTGCATAAAGAGGACAGTTTAAAACACCACATTTCCATTGTACATTTAAAGGCACAGATATCACCTCTTGATCTGCAAAATCTTGTTTTTGTATCTCTGTATTTTTGTTTGTGGCAGTTGAAGCATTCTGATTCTTTTAGCCATGCTAACTCTGAGAGACGAGGCAGTCCATGTAGCTTCAAAACAGTGCTGATTTATTCCATGCACACAGGTAAAAATTAACATTACACGCTCAGGTATCTTCCACCTCCAACATGCACGCAGGCAGCTGAAAGATGAAAGACCCCGAACCCAACAGGCCTGTACATTATATTGCTTTGGGCTAACCCCATTCTACACAGGAACGTCAAACCGTGACGTCTCCTGGTGCCAGCTTTGCAGCTGACCAGAGCGGTAGTCAAAACATGAAGAAAATCAATGTGTGATTGTCCGTTGATTGTGTGGTGTGTATCTAAGACATTCTGACAGGACATCCAGTGACATGTCCTGACATTAAGCATAAGAAGATATTATGATTATGATTAAACACGTCATACAATAATCAACTTTCTATCTAGTTATCCTTGAACATAAACAACCTGGAGTAACTCATGAAAATGAGTAAGCGTTTAACAGCCTGAGCCAGACATCCTGTCTACACTAAAAACATTCCTAATACAACAATTATCTAACCAATATCTATCTGACTAAAAATACCTAACACAGTGTAATACTCAGAGTATCACTACCGCCACTCCTCAGGATGGAAAGAAGTGAAAAACCTTTAGATACTGTTTAACATGACTTTTCTCCTTTTTTTTAAATCCAGGCCATGCAGTGGACCCTGGCTACGATTCTCATGGTACGTCTTTGTCTTATATTTTTCTACTCTATTGTACCACACAAACTGTTGTTCTGCTTCATTCCTTCCTGGCTGCCAATGGCAGTAAACAGACATATCCACTTATGTCTTCTAGCTCTCTGAGCAGGAAGACATATCCGTTTTGCCAGTGGCAAATTCATCTATGAATTCACATAACCATAGTTACATACATAATTTCCCGTTATTTAATCTGTTATTAGTTTTGATTATTAAAGAAAAGCTGAAAAGCTTCACTGACAGCAACACCGAAATGACACTGACCCTGCCTTAGGTTCCTGTAGTCCACTGACTGTCCTGTCATATTTGTCATTGGTATTTATATCATACATGCAGCAAGGTACAGTATTTGCATTCATTTCTCTGACTGTAGCTGTGAAATAATTGCTCAACAGTACTATGGCTTTTTGTCAGCCTGGCTACAATGCTGGAAAGAAACCTGGGGTGATATCTTTATCTTTTTATACACACACACACACACACACACACACACACAT